AGTACACTACAACTGTCGCATGCTGCATGTGAATATAATAGCAGGAAAAATAGATCTAATAATTTTATTTAACATAGTTCATTTCATTCTTGATCTTGATAGAAACAACTAGTGGTGGACCAACAAAAAACAACTTACTTCTTATTCGAAGAATATAACCACGTTCCCTCGAAAGATAAAAGATAGAATTTCCTAAGAGCTTATGTTCATCCATAAATATAGAATTAAACCTGAAAAAAGAGGATGAATTATGATGATAAACATTAGAAAGAAGGTAACTCAATTCAGCTACATGCAACTAATTTTGTATTATGTTACATGTGAAACTAATTTTGCAAACACAAAATTGCCTTCACAAACAACAGTAATATTGAAAGATAGGGTGAAAAACATTTAAATACTGATGAGAGGAACGGAAATATGAAATGAAGTTGTTACTGAAAGCAAGTTTATAAGTGCAGCACAGATGGATGGATAGATGAATAGTGACATTTTTATCAGAACAAAAACAAAATGCCTAACATATGAAAATTTGGAAGGAACCAAGTATTATGTAAACATGAATTGGTATACTTACAGACACACAAAAGAATGTTCTGCTATCCAGCTTCAAATATTACATGCCAAAATACAATTAGAGGAACATCTACCATAAAACAGTACTTTGCTAGTGTATTATCAGAATATATAATAAATACATAACACTAAATGACTGGTGGTCTTCTGAAAACAGTGACTACCCTGATATTTACCAAAGTGAAGAGTGGCACATTAATGATATGAGGTAGATTAAAGCTAAGAGCAAACAGCTCATCATCATAAAATATTCCTTAAAAGGTAAGTCCCACCAAGGAATTTAACATAAATTGATGAACGCTCTTAGCATTAAAAAAAATGTGTTTTGGGATGTTTTTACATAGAATATAAGCAAGGAGACAGCTACTGAGATGTGCCATAAAATGATCGAGCCATCATAAGCATCCCATTCTCCATAGCAAGCAACATGGCCATGTGCCATCACACTACTGGGTACAACTAACCATGCTAACAAACAAAATGAAGAAAAGGGAAGAAAACAAAATTCGAAGGAATTCCAAGCTTGATTAAGCCCTATGCATCATCCAAATTCCCCTGGAAAAACTCCAAGAATTTATGGAGTGAAAACACTTTGACAATTTATGCATTAGGACTACTTAATCCTGTCATCATAAAATTATACTACATCTTTTTAAGTGAACATGAGGTCATTTGAGCAAACTGTTTCAAAACAGAAACTTAGAACGATATGTATTCTAAATAATGTGATAACTATCTTAGTCACAATAAAACCTTTATTTACAGATGCAAGAAAGTGAATAGGAAGATTCTAACAATATCTTGAAGTACATGTTTCCTATAATGTTTATGATGGACAGTCACTTTGCAATCATGATTCGCCTTACCGGTTCATACCAGTGTACCGATCGACCATTGGTATGGAACGTACCAATGTACCAAGTACCAACATATAATATAGTAAGGTATACTGACGGATTGGTATATACTGCCCATATCAATCCTCTATTAGACTAGTATGTACCACCCATATTGAGCGATACATCGTGGTACAGTGAACCTTGTTTGCAATAATCTGAATCACACAAATAATGCCTATTTAATTTCATGAAGTTTTTTCTTCTTCACACTGTTATTAAAATTTGGTTTTAAACCAAAGTATGCAATTTCGGTTCGTATCGGCATACCGAACCTTGCTCGGTATGATACGTACCAATGCGTACCATCAACGTATCGAGTAGTATGCCTAAAATACCTACTAGTAAATAACGATCGAAATCGACCGTTACCCCCCAGTATAGGTTGGCAACGGTTGAAATCGATCAGTATAGCCTAGTACAGTTTGAGAACGGTTGAAATTTCGATCATTACCACACGATATAGCCTCGTATTGCTCGATATGGGGCCAAAAATTTGGTGCCGCCGGGTAGCGGGCGATCTACGAGCCAAGAGGCTCTCGAACTGGTATGTACAGCCCATACCAGGCGGTACACATCGAAATTAAAAACCATGTGTTTAAACAACTCCTAAGTGCAGCTTAGAAGTGTCAAATTAACAACAATCCATGACCATCATTTGATGTCATGAGCAACATATTTATGAATAACAAAGCAGCAAAATTCCAGTGCCAATGCTCCCATTGATTTTACTTTATGATTGATTCATGATAGGAAAAAAAAAAGAAAGTTAAATCGGTCCAACTTCTCCTAACTCAGACCATTAGTGGGTTGAAGTGAGGAAATAATCAAATTATTACATACTACATAGTCAAATATGATTTTTATTTGCATCCCTATATCTAGAACACTTTTTTCCGATGACACCAATAACATAACAGTATAGATTGCTTGCCAGGAAATCATGCCAAAAATATCATAACAAACGGATGAAAAAATCAGGAAAGACATTAAGTCTTCTTAGCTTCAAGATTAAATGGGACTTGCATCTAGTCTTATAGATGAAATGGAAAAGGCAATCTGCTCTTCTTATTTATTAAATCATTAGGTGGTTTACAATATGTTAAGCAATATATTCCAGGCTGTAAATACTATAAATACGAAGAAAATCAAGATGATTGGTCTTTAAGAAAGACATATATGGGTAATTATACCACGATTCATCATGTGGTGAATATATCTCACTGGAGGAAACAGCAGAACATGAAAGAAAGTACCTTTGAAGCAATTCTTTATTGTTTGATGACTTTGATCCACCATATTTTTGGAGCTCGTTCTCAACAACCTTTGCAAATGTTTCATTCAGATAGCGTGTGCTTAGCATGCGGTTCACTATTTGAAGCCTAATTGTCATGCGCAAATCCTGATCCAGGACATCATCAATTAACTCCTTATTTCCTTTCAGTTCAGAGACCGAAAATGTACCATATTTCTTCCTCAATCTTTTTACATCACTCTCATCGGCATACACACCTGCAAGTATCAGAGAAAACAAACAAATAATATACCATCCGATAAGAAAGCGGTTCACAATATATATGCTGATCAGTCGCAACATTACTCTGATGCGGTGAAATGCCATTTGAGTTACGACAGGTTCAAGAAACTAATCCGATGGAGATTTTCTTGATGGGCAAAAGCTAATTTGATGAATTTGGTAGCACAATCATATGATTGTAAGAGTAAAGACAACATGCTGATCCAAAAGACAAAAACAGATTGACGGACTGCTCTAACCAATTGTAGAGAACCAAATACACCAAATTTATGTTGAGGCGCAAATATCATGATGCCAACATGTATAGAGCATAATGGTCAATTCACTACATTTTAGGTCACCGAAGGAAGCCTAAACATTCAAGAGGCGGAAGCAAGGAAGAAGGCTCAATCGCAACTAGTTACCAAAGGCGTAGGCATGAAGTCGTTGGGACCCAAGAAACTGGTCTTCCTCGTCCCAGTGTTCAAAGTGGTGGGTAAGGCCACGCAGGTCTCAGCTCCATGGCGCGTCGGCCGATTCGAGGGAGGCGCCGACGTTGGCTGCCGCCGTGGGTTGGCAGATTGAGGGCGCGGCGCAGCGTCGTTCCCAACGGGGGCTTCCCGAGATTTCCAAAGGAGGCAGGAAAACGTCGTGACACACACATATTATATATATATAATTAATTAAAAAATCTTGATCGTTAGATCAAAATCTAACGGCTAGAAAAAACCGTTACATCTAAGTTATCAATCTTTCTATCTATTTATTTATAATTGGTAATTATATATATATAACTCCATTTCTAATATACTATTCTTATATATATATATATATATATATATATATATATATATCTCAAATTCGATTAATGGATATCCAAATCCAATTTAATCAATTATAAAGGTCAGATATCAGAAAAAAAAAATGATAACTGGATTCTTGTGAACATCAAAATTGGAAGACGAAAAATGGCGAGATGTAAGAGACTCTAATCGTTACCATATGCATAGGAGATGTTGTTCTTGCGCTTCGGACGCTTCCAATACCGCACTCCGATGCCCAAGAGGCGGCGGCCGTCGTCCACAACGGAGGGGAACTTGGTGCCGCTCCTCGGTTCCACGATGGTCGTCGGCGGCAGGGTCTCGACGAGGGAGAGTGTGGCCCAGACGGGGGACGCTTCGCTGCCCGCCTTCCGGCCTCTCCCCGACGCGCATGCACCCGGTTCGAGAGCGATGGAGATGGCCAGGCCCACTCCGGCACCGACAGCCGCGGCCGCCATGGCTTGGCGAAGCGCAGGCCTCTGCGGTGGCTTCGGTGGCTGAGGCAAAGAGAAGGGAAAGCGGAGAGAGCCCATGGCCGTATGAACTCAAGGCGCAAATGCCAAGTGTCGGATGGTACAGATGGAAATGCAACCGTGGAGACGAGAGAATCCACATGAAGTGTGCAAGCAGGTTGGCATCTCAAAGCACTGCTACACACTCACTTTAGTGTTCGAACAAAGGATGTCTCCACTTTAGGACTTGGTTTATGTGCTCAGCTTGGTGCATTGTGTGCACTTTGTGGTCTTAACCAGATGATCACACATATCTCAGACAGTAATTACAGTTTCACTTTACACCATGATGAATTAGCTGACTTCTCTTTCAAACATGGACAATAGGAATCCATTCAGTGCATGTTTGTGTGTTGATGCTTGATTAAATGTGTGCGTGTGTGTGTTGGCAGTGACAAGTGATCCATCAGAAAGGTGGAGATACCAACCAAAGTAGTTGCAGTTTCAGCTAGCACCATGAATGAGATTGAATGTTTCATCAGCCAGAAGGGAATACAGTCCAAAGGAAGCTGAAAATTGCACTTTTTTTTGCTTTATCTCTTTCTATTCAGGCTCATGTTTCTTTTTTCCTTCTTTATTCCCTGATTTCTACTTTGCTTTGAGGTTGAATGCACTTGTGTGATTCATGGGCTCTACAAAGGATGAGTTTGATCTTCTAATAGGCTGAATCATCAAGCAGTACAGAAGGTAGAAGAAGACATTGTATCAGAAAAATATTAGCTTATTATTCCAGCAAATGCACCAGCCAATTTGTATAGCATTGGTATCTTTGTGCTTGCTTAACAATGGATACATATGATGGCATCACTGCACCAAACAGAGGTCAACAGGAAGACTTATTTCTCATAGTCACTGCAGCAAGCTGCTGTGTGTCTCGATCAAACTGGAAGAATGTTTGATCTCTTCAAACGATGAGTGTGCAGTTTGGCAAATGCGTATGCTTTGTCGGCCTCAATCTGATCAATGGATTGATCTCGAAAAAGTTGGAAGGTCGAAGCTCGAAACCACTGCTCAGCATCGGCATCAATGGAAAGTCTTCCTGGTAGGGGATGTGATGGAAACCAACAGTGTGCCAGACGACAATGTCGACGTTCTCGATCGCTCTGTTCCTGCATCAGAACCAACAAGAAGATTGCTTTCAGATGACATATTATGGAAGCTCTGTTACTGGAATCTGTTTTCTTCAATCTCAAGTGATGTAAGAGATGCAAGCTGATGTCTACATTCAGTAATGTTGAGATCAATCTGCAAGCATAATTCTTCTCACTGATGTTGCTCCTGTTGGGTGAAGGTTGTGTTTCTTCTATTCAAAATAATTTGACTGAAAGAAAATAATTAATCTGAAAAAAATAACTTAGGTTAGATCAAAGAAGAAAAAGATCATGAAAAGAATTAGACTCTTTCTCCTTCAGACGAATTTGCCCCGGTGCTTACGGTTTAGCGGTAATCATCTCCTAATATACAATAACCACTTCTTGCAATAATAGTATTCTAAATTACAAGAAGAACAAACTTTAGATGTTTCTGAACTCTCTCTTTGACTATTTAGGTGAAAGATTATTTTTCAGGGTGAAAGGTCATGTCTGTTCGATCGAAAAGACATCTTTTCGAGTGAAATTTTTTTATTTATTTAAAAATATTTATAACCTACTATTTCTAATAATCTCCCACATAAATGATTTTTTTTTCAATAAAATGTACATGAATATGTAAACACTAAAGAGTGTATATGCAGAAGGATATTGCATCAAGAGAGGTATTTTGTGACAAATGTTATATTTGGGCGCATACAGTTCATTACATACATTAGACTATCGATTATGCAAGAATATTCCAACTGTGATATGAGTTCACTATTATTTTTTACTAAGTGTATATGCAAATCTATCGGAGTTTTAACTAGTCTTAATATAATTATCATATGTCTTTGAGATCTTAATCTCTAAAATGATATCCACCTCACCCATATCTTTCGTATCAAAATATTTTATCAATATTTCTTAGTTGATATGATAACATCATGATTGCTATCCATAATCAGCAAATCATCAACATATAAACACAAAATGATATAACAATTTGAAGTGCTTTTGATATAAACATATTTATCATACTCATTAATTTTAAAGCCATTTGACAATATAATTTTATCAAGACTATGGTTTATAACCTTTTCATAACCTATGTCAAGAATTGAACTCTTTGAGAGAAGAGATTATGGATGCTATGTGGATAAGTTATGATTTACCCCATAATTTAGAGGGGAACAATTCTCTCGATTAACCATATTCCTTAATTGTTGTACTCTCTCTTTCATCTATATCAAATGAAACTAACAATAAAAATTTATTTTTTTATAGAATAAATGCTTGAGATAAGATAAGATATATTTATGCATATTAGAGAGACTTATTCGAATAAAAAGATGTATTTGTTGATATGAAAAGACATATCTATTCGGATGATTATCTTTTAGACAAAAAAAAAAAAGATCATATCTATTTGCTTGGAAGGATATATTTACTTAAATAAAAATTTTCATTCGTTTGAATATTCATGATTTCCATGTGACCATAGAACATACCTTAGGCTCCAAGCAGCTAAGTTGTCGTCTCCTCTGCTGTTGTCTACGTAAAGCCCAGCTGCCCACTTCTCCGACTTGTTGTATGGAGTCACCCACACCTGCTTCTTCCCGTAGCTGGCTCGCATCTGGGGGTAGTCGTCGTCGGAGAGCAACGAGGCGGCGGGCGCGCCATTGGTGATGAGCCGATAGCCGACGTGATTCCCCATCTTGGTCTTCTTGTTTGGGTTCACAATCAGCAACTCGGCGGGCACCGACCCGATCTCCACGCGAGCGTCCGCCTCCATCTTGGCCACCTCCCTGGTCACCGTCCAGTAACTCCTGCGGGGGACGTCGCCGCCGTCGGCAACCCTCGCTGTCTTGAGCTTGGATTTGATGAAGGTGTTGTTGAGGCCATCGATGTCGAGGTCGAGGTAGTAGGTGACGAAATGGTCGTGGTAGACGGCGATGGTGTTCTCGGCTAGCAGAGAGCCATGCACGTCGGTGGTGATCTGGTCCGTGTGGGTGTAGGGCGTGCCCTTCACCTCCAGTATGCCTGTTAGGGAGACCTATGCATGCACGGCGCGGCAACATTGTTAGCGTTGTGCAAAGAATTTGATGCATGCAAATGAGGGAAAGACTATTCATCTTCGATTCCTCGGTTCATCTAAAAGCTTGAATCGATGGGCGAGATGAAAGAAGATGCTAACTTCTATTTGCATAGATCATCTCACCCCGACTTTGATGGATCCACTGGTCTTGAACTCCCAGTCGGTGACATAGTCGTAGTTGCCGAGCGCGCCGACCATCCTCACCACCAGGCTCACCTCGGGCCGGACCTCCCTGATCTGTAAACCACCACCACCACCACCGCCAAATTTGAAGCATCAGAAACAATAAGCTTTTAGGAGGAGTGTAAGATCTAACTCACCATTTGTCCCGGAATTCCCAACTCCGTGTGCCGCCAAGCAGCATCTCCGCTGTAGCGCTCGAAGACACAGAACACGTTGGGAAGCTTGACGGGCTCCCCATCCTGCGTGGCGTAGTAGCCGTCCATGAACTCTGCGTTGGCGGGGCAGTCGGTCATCGGCTCTAGCGGCGACGCCCACAGGCCGAACCCGTACTCGCCGGCGTCGAAGAAGGTCCTGAAGTACCACTCTTCCGCTGGATCCATGTACGGCACGAAGACTTCCGAGACGTAGCCCCGGTACAGCACCCGCCGGCGAGCGCCCTTCTGGGCGTCGTAGACTGACGCGAGGGAGATAACGAGGCCAGCCCGGGCATCGTAGCTCAGGTGGAAGTCCCAGTTCGACCATCTGCAGAGAAGTCACCGCTGGTCTGCATCAGAAGTACTCCTCTACCACTGATTTCTTTGCTTGAATTATATTCTTCATCAACTCGGACTAATACTATACTACGATGCATGCATGCTCGCTCGTATGGTAAGTAAAGTGACGAAGATGGGATCCGATTTCAGGAATTTATGATATCCATCTTTTCAAGCTAAGCTACACTTTCAACTCCCATATTAACTATGAATTCTTATTTTTCTTGGGGCATATAAGTGATTCCAACGCACCCACCGATCGAACTCCAAACCCCGAGCTGCTGACGGCAGCAGAAGAGAGTGGGCCCAACATTCGTGAGGGGACGGTCAATTTCATGCCACGTCAGATAATGAAGCGGTAAAACGAAAGGGAAGAAAAGAGGCTTCAAAGGCGGCCGCCAGTGTACCTGATCACGTGGCCGTCGATACGGAAGCCCTTCCCCGCCGGCTGGACCACCACGCCGGGCTTCGTCTCAAGCGCGAACGGGGGCCGCTGCTTCGCCGCCCGGTAGTCCGTCCCCTCCGCCTTGGGCACCGGCACCACCACCCGATCCCGGTAGCCGATGATCCTCATCTCGTCCAGGTCCACCACGACGGTGATCCCCTCCATGGGCCGCATGTAGAAGTTGGCCGTCTCCCCCGCCACGCAACACTGCAGCTTGAGCCGCCGCCGCCCCCTCCCTGGCTCCCCGAACCACCCCGCCGTCAACGGCGAGCACACCACATCGGACAGCGCCACCCCGCGCCGCCGCGCCGACTCGACGAACGGGGTGTAGTTCAGCGGCAGTGCGGCCGCCGCCTCCAGCTCGTCCAAGGTCTGAATGGGGTACCCGGAACCGCGATAGACCCGGTCGGAGACGACGGAGGCGTCGGCGACGTCGACGACGATCTCGTGCGTCTCCCCTCCGGAGCGGGCCACGACGAACGCGCGCCGCCTCTGGCGTCGGCCGCGGGTGGCCGACTCCGCCCATGCCTGCACGTCGGTCTTGTCGGGCTCGTCGAGGCCGACGTAGTGGAAGGCCAGCGACTTAGATGCGCCGAGGTGGGAGGACTGGATCACGCGACGTATGGTGGAGATCTCGGCGGCGGTGAGGGGGTCGAGGGGGTGAGCCGAGCTCAGAGGAAGACATGGGTGGAGGAGGAGGTGAAAGAGTAGGAAAAATAGGAGAAGAAACCAAAGTTGGATAGACATTGGTGGTGACTAGTGGCGGATGAGAGAGATAAGGGAAGCAGTCGAGTGGCATTGCAGCACAGATTAAATACGACCTCTGCAACGCCGCCCTCACGGCTTGCTAGTAAAAGTGGGTGGGCCCGTCTCAATCAGTGGTAGGATAATACATGGCACAGAAAAACATCCGCCGTCAAGTGGAATATCATATGACGTGCAAAGCGCTCCACTCAAATCACCCAAAAGATCCTACGAGAGCTTATGCACGTGTGGGAACAATGCGTTGATTGAGGTTTCAATGAAGTGACCTTCTCGTTTATTAATTAAGATGGTGCTTGCTGAAGTGACATTTTTCTTTATTAATATGCTCATAATGCTTGAAAGTGCGACTCTGCATCTGAACTGATTGAATGGGTGGTCCCGACAAGAGGTAAATTACTCTTGAGCTAAGGAGTAGTACCTTTTCTTTTTGTCTTCTATGCGAACTCTGACAAAGGCAAGAAAAGTAACCTGCACCAGTTTCAATTTTGGGCCATTAGAGACATGATGGACAGACTGATAAATACAACAAGTAACAGGAAATATTTTCTTGGATGGACTTGGAGTTCAGTAACTAAGAGCAAATCAGAAGGACACATGAGACCGTGGTTAATACTGATGTAGGAATAATATTCAGATACTAATCAAGATTAATTCTCTCAAAAGAATTTATAATGACGTTTATTTTTTTTTATATTTCTAAAGTTAATTAGTGAACGATAACCATTGTTTTGTTTGAGTGATTAATCGGAGTTGATTGGGTGCATATTTGTGTGATCTTAATATTTGAATGAATATTGTAAATGTATGCATATGTACGTTTTATTTAAATTTGTAGGAGGATCCTTAAACTATAATGGGACAGTCATGTAAAATCATCTTCTAAAGAAAAAGGGGCTAAAAATATTGGATTTAGTTGCAGATAAATGGAAGAAAAATTCAAATTTCTCTCACCGATCATTTTGGCCTCTCAATCTGCCAAGTTGGTGAGTTGCTTTTGGTCCACATAATTTGCCCTCACTGATCAATGTGTTTCACGAGGTACACTGCATCCTACCAATTTATGATTGAAATTGCATTATTCAAAAATTGGAAAGGAATAATACTATGCTGTTTATAATCAATTACGTTATGGTATATCAAAATGGAATCCTCCAGTGGCTCCCAATCATATGAGACCTACATGAGATCAGGTTGATTTGCATAATTACTCTCTCAAATATACATATTTTCACATACATTATTCTTTAATAGTTGATCATCACAACACAAAACAAATAGTGCATCAATAAATTACCAGAACGAAGCAGTGCTGCAAACCTGGAGACAAACTTCACAAGGACGAACAAGGTGAATGGTCTGCTAAACGCATCAGCCAACCTTTGAAATAGGGCACAGCTTCCATTTCTGTGCGTGAGAGGGCACCTAAAGGGGTGATTGTAATCTGGGAGAAGAAAAAAGATGTCAACATTATCAATGGCTGTTCTTTCGGTATTTTAATTTTAGAGAAAAGAAAGCAGGAAACAAACTGACATATCCTTCTTCCATGGCCCTGTGATCTGTGTCCTCTTCCGCTTCTACACTGTTCTTCTTGATAATCTGTTCAATGTATGGAAAAGAGTTACATCAATGATCATATTCATTCCAATTTTTGATTGTCAAGATAGAATTTTGATGCCTGTTGGATTTCTCGAAAAAAATTCGTATATGCACATCGAAAAACTTATGCAAGTCTACATGCATGGATCTATACAACTATACTATGTAATAGAAATTAAATAGATTCAATTAGCACAAACTCAAAGTCTTGGATGTGAAGAAATGTCAGCCAGATTTATCGAAAGATAGGACAGAATCATATTTGATTGTTTATTCTCACTTTTCGTTCTTTTCTAGTCACACTTGATTGTTCTTCACTAATTATTTGTAACTACAGGATGCTTAGGAGAAAACCAGGCCATAGGCGAGAAATCAGATAAATTCTAGGCTTTATCTAAGCATTCAGGCTGTTTCTTAGCTTAAAACTCACAGATCAATAAGTTCCAAGTGATGAGGTGGAGTGGACAGCTAGATGACCTAGAAAGACCACCTACGATGCCAAGGTAGTGTGCCTCTGGCAGAAATGCTCAATTCTTACATGAAGTTTTCTCAACCTATTGTCTTTTCCAAAAGCAGGTTTGACAAAAAAAGGCTTAACTATGACAAGGAGGTTTATGATGAATAAACGAACAGAGGCTTTTTTACCTGAATCACAGAATAAAAAAATCTTCATGAAAGGCATATGATGTCAAAATGTCATGTTACCATTGGTGGATTGACCTACATCATCTAGTTTTTGAGGAAATTGTTACTATAGTTGAATTCCCCCCATACCATACCATTTATTATCCTGGATAAATAATAGGCCCCCAAAAAAAAATTTCCTGGCATAACTTGTCATCATGTTGATGAGTAGTTTGCAGCAGTTGCATATGTACTATAAATTCAGTAACATTGGTATTAACACTATAACAGTTAAATGGAATGCAAGAACAGAGAACAACTGGTATTGAAAATTACAAGAAATGAGAATTTAAATGCAATTAGTAAACAATTAAAATGTAAGACAAACCCTTGAAGAGATCTAGAGAACACATGTATGATCACTCTACAATAAGAGATGACAAACACGAAATAGGACGAACATGTGATGAATTTCTGCAGATAAGGATTGTGAACTCAGCACATGGCTGTTAAGAAAGAAAATATTTACCACCCTCTTAAACAAGAGTTCATCTTCCACCAGACTTGATGATGCATTGTTACCAAAGCCCGATGCAGAGTCAACATCAATATTTGCATTTTGATAGGTCTCTACAGCTGGTGTGCTGGTTTTTGTTTGCTCCCACCCAAATCTGATCATAAATTTTCCCTGCTTTGTTATCTTGAATCCCTGTTGGCAACCACAACAAACAGCATACACAAACATCGTCTCCAAACCAATCCATGTTAAACTATCATCAGCTGACAAACTGTTCAGTGGCTAAAGAAGGTGATACATAAGAGCTGAATAACCTAACATCAGACACCTTTGAACATGCCTAAAAAGAATATTCAAGAATGAATATGATATAGGATGTCAGGATAAAAAAATTGATGAAAGAGGAAAGACATAAACAGAGTATCTTGCAATAGACTTGTGGGAAAAGTGAGAGGAACTGTAGCAGGACAAAGACCTAGTTTGTCGATATAAATATTTATGGGAAAAAATAACACATGCCAACAAATGCTAATGTGGACTAACAGCATGCATGGAATAAGAGTACAGAGATGCGCCTCATTAAAGAATTAAAGAACATATTTCCTACGTGTATATCAACTTTGAAGCAAAGTAGAGATTGACGTGTCTCTAAAAGACGTGTTCAACCCTTACAATCTAAATCTTGATTACTATCTCAATTTGGAAGCAAAATAGAGATTGATGTGTCTCTCAAAGACGTGTTCAACCCTGACAACCTAAATCTTGATTATCTTTTTCTCAGCTCTGATTGTCTTCTAAAATGATGACAAGAGAATTGCTAAAAGGTTGAGGATGAGTCTAGAAGCCTAATGATCACTTAACAAATCAATTTAGAAAATCCATTTCCAATTCCAACCTGAAATGTAAAACAATTAGAACAACAGTATTGTCATGACTTACATGTAAGTGTTTAACACCTGTCTTAATATAATCATAAATTGGCTAATAATTTGTAACTTAATTCATATGATATTAAAGAACAATTCACAAACCATACGCCTATAACTAATGCTTAAACATTACTAAATATGAGAAATGGTAAACAGGTACGGGAATACAAAACTTCCTATTACATATGTGCTAATTATGTTGTGCTCTAAGACAGTTAAGGACTCAAATATTACCCTGTGATTTGCAACATCTGTTGGCACAATTATGTTCAAAAATGAACCTTCAGGATATGTCTTGGTTTTCAGCTCATTCAGTACAGCATTTATGAGAGGCAAACAAGCATCTGCAGCAAGCCTCAGGGCATGAACATTGCTCTTCCCTTCCTTCCTGGAAAACCAGTTAAGTGGCACAAAATAAGTATCATCTACCTCAACTAGAAAATATTCATCGCTTGAGATGTAAAAATGAACAAATAGCCCACCAAATTGTATCACTTCTCATCTAGAATAACATTTATATTTAAAACTTGAAATCTAGTCGACCAAGATACCAGTTGGTAATATCTAGACAAACATAAAAGACTGCATCCATGCATGATGGTTGCAGGTACAATTGCATGACATGAATGTATTATACATGTCATAATTCATTTATCTTATATTATACAGCCATGATCAAAAATTTACATTGCACTTGGATACAAAAGTTCATTATGCATGTTAAAGTTCTACATTTCAGGTACCAGATATGTACCAGTCCATTAATGTAGTATAGAACCAAAATAAGTCATGCAATATGTACTACAACTCAAAATAATGAAACAAATAATCTTACCAGTCACATACCATGAACCAAACCAAGTGATCTACCATGTATCTCTACTCTTATTACAATTTGGAACAATTCACATTCCAGGTAAATCAACATGTCTTATGTGTGAGTTTGACTCGCCATGTTCTAGTCCACTGGTCATGTCTTTCTGATTATCATCCATCTATGTGCAATTTTCAGCCAAAACATAATATGTTTGCAGTTGGATAATATACATCATAAAAGATACCTCCTATAGCCTGTAATTCCTATGACACAAATGACAATCAATGAATTATGTAATATGTTCACTTCAAAACAAGTAAAATGTACATAAATAGTTACAACCAGTGAGGATTAGTTTACCATGTCCCTATCATTCAGAATACAAAAGAAGATGCAAAGAATACCAAATGCTTGCTTGGCAAAGGTAGCAACTAGCTTTTGGTACTAACCAATTTGCATTATACAGCTGAACAGAGAATTAATTTGTCAAAAGAAAAGAAAATCACAAATATCTTGCCCTAGGAAATACATATAACAGTCCATAAGAAATGCTACACTATTGGTAGAGCTATGTTATTTTCACCAGTTAAATCGCTATAGTATCAATTGAACCATTGAAATGTAAGTACAAATAAGTGCTGAAGATCATGCTAATAACACATGGAACACTTAAAAAATATTCCCTCCTGACAGGGTTATGGTATCATGAATTATCAGCAAGAATGCAACAGCCAAATGATAATAGCCCTGTCATACCAGTTATATGATATAGCTAAAGAAGGTACACCATATAAGAATGCTTCCCGCGCACCGGCTACTGTCCCAGAGTATACACTACATATGAAAGAAACAAGAACTGCTTATAAAAGGCGAAAATCTCTTATGTTGAACTCCAATCTACGAACTATCTTTTGAACATCAAAAAGCTAATAGCACGAACAATTATTCATGGTAAGCATTATAAATATATGCATATAAATCTGTTTTACATGAATATATAGAAAGAAAAATAAGCTAACTATGGCACTATTGCAATAAAACACTCATTTTCCAACAACACCACAATAATCATTTATGGACACCTACAAGAGCAAGCAAGTTGAAAAATCATTGGTGTCACAGTACTGCAGCGGGAAGATGAATTAGATAACAAATTGATGGCTAGGTGGCACTTAGTCTTCTTAATCAGCTGACTGGGTATTGTAAAAGAGAGAGTTAAAATGCCAAGGCAACATGCTTGCAAGACAAACAATGTTAGAAGAAGTTGCTTCTGGTGTTTCTCCTCCAACACTCAAGTCAAGCAAGTGATAAATCCAAACCAAGTTATGTAGCAGCTAGAAGAGAAGCTGTATGTCAGTGGAGACAGATCTCAGATCAATTCTGGGAAGGATACATCACAATCCCAATTGAATTTAGGTCACTTGAATGTTCAGATGAGCATGATCAATTCTGGTCTTCCCAAGAGCCGAGCGCAATGATTAGGAACTTAAGATTCTCAGTCACCATTCTTGATCTCAGAACCTGAAGTCGTTGGGAGCTGGTTGGACTGCCAAAGAGGATTTGAGAAGCCATGCTGGCAATGACATGCACAAGGCATGCGACTTGTGTCATGGGTCATTTAAGTCCAAATGTAGCCTCGTCCAAGCCAATCCAAGATCCATTACCAATTTAATTAAAGTCTAAAAGGGATTCTCAAACTGGAGCAACACATTTTCAGAGATATCACAATGTAATTTTACAACTGAATTCTCAATCATGCCTTTAACACATTTTGAATAATCATAATTTTAAATGGGCTTGAGCTGCTTGACAATCTTTCCCTCAAAAACAAAAAAGTAAACAAAAAGAGGCATAACTGAACCATTCATGTTTACAATCTGTGTTTAGGCATCCAGTAATCAGAACTTAGAACAGGTCAACTACCATACACGATGTGACTTTTTTTATTGGGAATACCTCACAATAATAAATTCCTGTACAAGGATACTCTTCTCTTTGCATTCTAATTTAGCAGTTAGAGATGTGAGTTTTCTCATGATTCTCAAAGTACAATTCAGTAAAAGTTGTAAGCCTTCCAATTCTATATGTGAATGATATCCCTCTCCCCCTCCGATACGCATGTCATTTATATCCTCCCTTCCTCATATATCTTTTCATCTTCCTGCAAATTAATTTTGTGCATCAAGACCACTTACACCTAAACCTTAAGTACTTTGTTTTCTCTCAATTGGTCAACAATCATAGCTTAATGATAATTTTTAAAATACCCTTAAAAGAGGCTTTAGCCTTGCTAATTTGGCTTTCAGATTAACCATCAAAGACTAATATTACAGAAATGCATTTAGCCAAAGAAGAGTCTCCAAATCCTTTCTCTTCTCAACCTTTTTCTTAAGACTTTCAATTGCGTCAAATCTTTGTTCCCTGAATGTAGAATTGATTTAAATCCTTTACCCTGATATCCGGTCTCATCACTTGCACCAATTTAATCTTGAGTCTGCAAAGACAGTGTCCAGGAATGTCATCCCAAAACAAATAAACATCACTTTAGAAACTAATGATATTGAAGAGTATCTACTGCTCCAATCTGTAAACCAGCTGTTTTGATTGCTTTCTTGGCCTCCTCTACTTCTAGAAGGTTTTTGAGAAAACTGAACCATGACAAGAATTTGACATCAAAAGATATCAATTATCAAGAGATATAAACAAAGAGATTAACGTGATTTATTATCAAAGATGATAATAAAAATTGAGTAAATAGAACAAGTAGATTCAAAATTTGAAATTCTAGGATGCTTTAAACAAAATCTAACAAATGATTTAATCAAAAACCTTCATATTCCAAAGTTCCCCAAGTAAGGAATGGCGTAGAATACATGAAATAATTCTTATTTGTAAACAACAACAACAGAGACAACAACTATTATTGATCGGTAAACAAGCTGTGATGCCCCCACTATAATTTATTAGTAATTAAAAATAATATTCCCATTTTTTTGAAACAAACATCACAATGCAAAGATGGCCATTTTCTTTAGTTCCATTCTGTATGGGCACACATAGCAAACTACATGCAGAACTGAACTTCATCCAATATTCACCACTTTCACCATAAAAAATCCTCTTTAGAGTGCAATTCAGTTTCTTGAGTTACACTCTTAATTGTCATAGAATATAACTATTAAGATCTAAAAGACAGATACTATAGAAGACAATAACAACAGATTACTAACATGTGGTATCCACAGTTGCTACCAATATTGATGCCACTAATCACCTGAAACATGCAGAAAAAGGGGTAAATTTCCAATAACATATAACCTTTAGTTACTTAAGTATATGCAAGATGCACGACTGAGTACTATTGTTTAGCAAATAGCATAAGGTGCATAATAGTAGCCTCTGTTAGAGTAAAATATTTCAGTAACATAAAGCATGATTAGGCCATTTGGGTCAAGTAATAAGGTTACCAAATCAGGAATTGTACCAACAAAGAGTTTCCCAGAAATTCCCAAAGAAGCACAATCTGCAGGAGTGCCTGCAAATTGTATACACATATATCACTTTTACTAGAGTAATAAGATAACATCAGAATTAAGAATTTGTCAATCTAATTTCAAAACTGATGAGAGAAGTGGCAAAGTAGAGCCAAAATTCATGTCAGTGAAACTTAGAAAAAGCTAGTTTATGAGACCCAATCAAAACTCCAAAGGTTTGACGCCAGTTAGAAATCTCAATAGCAATGGTACTTGGTATTTAATTAGTGGCAGACGTTCAATAGGTTGTCTAATAAGAGTATTTTATTTTTTAGTTATAATATGATCAGCTAGAATCTCATGAATGTGGGATGTTTGGGGAAGATTCAGTAGAGAAGAAGAATATGAAGTTTGACGATCAAACCAAGTTATTGAAACCCCACATATTACTATGTTTCAAAGACTTTTAGCAGAGCAATGCAAGTTCTTCCCATCCACCAAGATCCGGGAATCACAGCCAATAGAGGAATTTGGTCCAAATCTCTTATCAAGAATAAAAAGCTCTACCACACTGAAAGTCTGAAATAATGGAAAAAGGCTCAAAGGAGCATGTAGGAAGCTAGCAGATTTTTTGGAAAGAACTTCCTCTTCTAGATGATGGTAAGATCAAACTTCTAGTTCAAAGATGTAATTCTATGCTTATGGAAATCTGAATTAAGGAATGGAAAGAATTGGTCAAGGGGTCAGATGCTTTTTAAACTCTAAAGAACTTCACACAGAGAATGCCCTTATCAGCTAAAACTCTAAATGAATTAATACACAGAGCAATATGCCTCTCACCTCTTCCTGTGGCCAGTTCTCTTTAACATTTTAAAAGACCACCTTTTTTGTGGTCCAGGTGCCCATAAATGAATAATTGTACAGAGTATTAAAACTATAGAGAGCGGGACCACCATAGAGAAACTTTAGCAGAAATCAATTTTGGACTGCAAAACATTGAGACATGACTTCTTAGATTTCAACAAAAACAATAATCATGGAATGCCACTGGTAAAAAAATTCAATCTAATATAAATTAGTTGAAGGCTTGCCTCAAAACAAAAGTGTCATTGGTAAACAAAGGATACTAAGTAGCCAGAAGCAATAGTAGATAGTTGGAAGAACCTGATACTGCAAAAGCTGTAGCACCCATAATCTCAACACGTTTAGCACTGAGAGGACGACGCCAAGCAATGCCATGTCCAACACCAGATTGGTCACTGCATATATCATGAGAGAAGACAGTTTACCATGTCATGGTAAGTGCACTTTGATTGTTATCCCATTCTGTGCAACAATCAATTTTATGATACAAAGGTGCCATAATTCTGAACAAGGAGTGTATCATCTTGGCATATTAGGCATAAGGCAACAAACATTTCCACTACTACAACATCAGAGGTGTAACATTTTCAAACATGAATTTTGTCATGTTAATATGGTGGACATGGTTCAATTTTGCAATGTCCGCAAAGCACTTGACCTGTATAAAGCCATGCCAGGATAAAGATGTGTGCTGAACCAAAAACCTTGACTCAAAGAGTGTTAAGAGACATCTGTATGAGATCAATTGAATAAATACACTTGCATTGATCTTGTTATGCATGATTGACCTTGTGACATAATATGCAGTATAGGCCAATTGGACTTGGCATTGACCAGGTCCGACACTAAAATCTATGGTTTTTCAATCAGCTATAATTATCCCAACATCTTCAGATATGCCAAAGCATATGCTCAAATATGGCCAATAACCATTAAGTCCAACTGATACCAGTGGATTCTAGTAGGTCCTGGTAGAATTTAATCAGTTCCAACGAGTACGTACAATTCGAGTCACTTAATAGCTTTTTATGGCTTATTTATATTTAGATATGTAGTCAGACGACAGATACTGCCTGAAACAAGCACAATGAGCACCCCTAATCCCTGATTAAACTGCATAGCAGCATCCCTTGGTTTTCATATGTCAGCTAAGTCCATATACACCCTGAACACTGGGTAAGAGCTCAGAATTCCTGGTTGCTGGTAGCATGATATGAGCCGATCTGGTAAAAGGGATTGCTTTATATTTCGACAAGAAAATGTTGTACATATCCAACATCAGGAAATAGCTGCAACAGAATCAGTTTGCAGCACCCACGAAGGCATATGAGATGCGATCAACAAGGCTGGTAAAAGGCGGCAACAAAAAAATCTAGCTATTAGTTTCTTGGGCCTCACTGGCCTCCATCTACTGCTAAATCAAGCTTCTGCTTTAGCAGACTTCATATTTGTGACCTCCGTCAATTGATAAAACAAGAAAAAGGAACAAAAAGATGATGTCCTACACCGAACAATGACACTTAATCCCCATATTCCAAGAATCGTAGTCCGAGAACTCGCCAGTTCAGCACAATTTCCTCAATCTCTATACGTGAAACAGCAAGATGCCAACGTTTCAATTGCTGACAAGTTCTCACCAAAGAAACATTACGAAATCAAGCACGAAGGTTGCGTATTGCGATAAAGAAACGGATCATAACGAGAACCTCCAAAAGAGCAAGAAAGAACATCGTGAGACTACGCATCGAAGGTTCTGTACTGGCGGAAACCAAAGAAATAGAGCAGGGCTCACGAATCGGGAGCGCAGACGAGGACGCGGTACCGATCGGCGGCGACGAGGAGGTCGACGAGGAACCGGAGCCCCGGCGCGTCGATGCCGTCGTCGTTGGTGACCATCAGACTGGGGCGAGGATCGGCAATCGCCATCCCGTCCATCGCACGCCCACAAACACTGGGGAGGGTTCGTCGTTATTTGCGAGGATTTGTCGGGAAAAGGGCACGGAGATCGAGACTCGTACTCAAACCATGTAGCTTTTCTCCGTTTGTTCTTTCGGGTCTTCGTTAAGTAAAATTAATAGAATCGATCCGACGTAACGGAACAATAGCATATTTACCACTAAATGTTCCAACATAATATATATATGTCACTTATACGCCTCTCGTGCCTCTAAGCAAAGTGTCCCATAATTCTATATCTATCTATACAAATAATAAAAAAGAAATCACGTAAAAAGAAGGTTTCCTTTCAATCTTGTTGGGAAATACGAGCGGCAAAGCAATTGACGAAAGTAATGAGTGTTTGTTTATATATTACTTATATTTATTAAATTTAATGACAATGAAAAGAAAGTAATTAAGTGTTTAGAGGGATATAATATAATATATAATTTTAAAATATAGGATTATGGTTTATTTTATCATGTGATTTTGGTTATGAATTTTTTAGGTCATTATAGTTTACTTGTGTTTAAATAATCCTTATATTTTTAAAAATATAATATATAAGTCCTCTCGAAAATATAACATATAAGCTCCTCCTGTCAAGTATGAATTAACAAACATTTGAGTTTGACACGATATGCTAACTCATAATAAATCATTAATATAATAGCATGTATAATTTATGGTTAAGATTTATTTTAATTATTATAATTTCGGTCATGGACTTTTTAAGTCCTTATAGTTTACTTGTGTTTAAAATAACTCTTAAGTTTTAAAAAACGTAGCATATAATCCCCTCTTGTCATGTCTGAATTAACAGATGTCAGAGTCTACTTACGTGGCATATTAACTCACAATACATTATTAATATAATGACATATGTAATTTAAGTTTAAAAAAAATTGAGATCATCATCAAAGGCGGGAGGAGGCGTCGTTGTGGAAGCGACTACCAACAATAGCACCGAGCTGTTATTATATAGTAGGGCATTGTGAAAACTATCTACTAAATGTCACTCGATAGCTCCAAGACATATACCATCGTATTGCCCACCACGACGTTGCCCGCCATCGTGAATGCCACTCATTCTGATCCTGACGAGTACCACCATACCTTGTAAGTCATCTCCCTCTGTGAAGTATGACATCACGAAGACGAAGAGTAGGCTAAAAGGAGCGGTTGAGCTAGTCTATATAACCCTCCTGCACCCACTCGCTCTCCTCAACCAGTTTGTCGAGGAAGAGGAAGCGACAGATGAAAGTGGAGAGGCAAAGGTAGGAGAGGCCGGAGGCTGGAGGCGGAAGTGAGTGAGAGTTGGACCACCATGTCAAAGGCACGATGGGTGAAGGCATAGGAGAGGACGAAGTGGGAGACAGTGGGGATGAAGACGCCCAAGGCATGATAGGTGCCTAGCATCAAACTGGTTGACGCACATCTACCTAAGACATCACTGAAAGCTCCTAAGCTCATCATCAACACGGAAGAGGTTACAAGTGTACGACACTCTACTAGGTAGTAGTGGCTCGATGCTGTTACTAGTGGTCACTTCCGTGATGATGCCTCCTCCCGCCATTGATAGAGATTCTAATTTTTTTGAAAATCTTAAATTATATATATGACTCTAACGTCTATTAACTCAAACTTGACAAGAGGAGCTTATAAGCTATATTTTTTTAAAATATAAGGGTTATTTTATACACGAGTAAATTATAAGAGCTTAAGAGGTCTATAATCAAAATCAAAGAGACTAAAATGAACTTTAACCCTAAATTATATATGTTATTATATTAATAATTTATTGTAAGTCAACATGAAATGTAAATAGATTTTAATATCTGTTAACTCATACTTGATGGAAAGGACTTATATGTTACACTTTTAAAAATATAAGGATTATTTTACACAAAGTAAATCATAAAAACTTAAATGGATAACCCAAAACACGTAAAACCATATAAAAATTTATAAGTTTTGAGGACAAGTATAATGAGAAGAAGGCACGTGTTATTCCTCGATTGGCTTAGTAAGTCGGTAGACCCGTTGGCTCAACGGCGTCGCCCGCCTTTGGCACGAGGAGCACATCCCGCTTCTTCGCGCCTCTGTCACGTGCATAGCCATGGCGGATGGAAATAACCTTAAAGAAAGGGGGACGCGTCACGTGCTCACCGGCGGAGCTACTCGGATCTGCCGTTCTCTCTTTGGATATACCACCAAGCGTTTGAACGAAACAGGGTTCCCGAAGGAGGGAGAAGCACGGAGCTCATTCTCCTCCCCAAACAAATTATTTTCGAGTAATTAGTTGCGATTTCTTTTTTTTTCCTCGTTTCATTTTGTTTCGATCGGTTCTTGGATGTTGGTGGTACCGAGAACTGAGAGGGAAATTTTTTGTGGGGATGTTGCCCCTTCGTCGGGTTCTGCTATTGCTGATCCTTTTCACCGGCATTCTCTGGTTGCAGCGTCGTCGCTTCGATGTCTGCTGTCGGGAAGTCGGCGAATATCTTCTGGCAAGAATGCCCGGTGGGGAAGCTCGATCGGCAGAAGCTGCTGAAGCAGAAGGGTTGCGTCGTTTGGATCACCGGCCTTAGCGGCTCAGGTCCTTTTTCCTGGCGATTCTTTTTTCGTTGTCATGTATGTTTGTTGTTATTTTCTTCTCTAACGATCGGTAATCAGAATGCTGGACGTGTTTCGGAGCAATAAGTCATGAAACGAAAGTTAGGGCTGCAATGGAAGCTTGTGCTTCTTAAAATAAAATGGAAAAGATATGATATGATTCCTTTAATCCACAAAAAAATCGAGCATATGCTGTTGCACATCCATGGCCGTTGGGTGTTATTCTGCTGAATATAATATTAGGAATAGTCTAGGTTTTGAGAGAACTCATTCTTGATGTAAATTGACAACTTTTAGTTTTCATGTGAAAATTATATATTTGCATCATGAAAATTGGACTAAGAATATACTGATCTTGATCGAGATTGTCCCATGCTTTTTCTTCTTCTAATGAATGTGATCTTTCGTACAGTAATCTCAATGTCTAGGTGTCATCATGAAATTATGATTTTCCTATTACACAATTTGCACCTTGTCTGTAATTCAAAAGGATGAATTTACATGAAACAGTACATATTTATTTTCTGAAAGAGGGCTGCCCATTGCACAAGTCTCCTATAGGGGAATTGGGGAGTATCAATAAATGCAGCCTTACCTCTTCAAGTTATGTACATACATCTTTATGCAGCCATGCATCCCATGATAATTTTTATGATCACCATGATTAACCCACATGTTAGATTCACAATTTTTGACAAACTTCATAAAATAGTGGCTTGGGCTTTAGCTCAGTGGTTGTTGTCCATCCTCCTCAGCCATGGGTTCCATGTTTGAATTAGGACGTTATTTTGTAAGTAATACAGGATAACCTGTTTGGTTTCTCACAACTCTACATCAATATCTGTCCTATGGTTTGATATTGAACATTTATGTTGATGTCAATAAAACATGAATAAGCTCACTGATCAAACTTTGTAAGGTAAGAAAACTTGTACCTAAGTGTTTCTTGTTTTGATGTTCTTGCCTTTGGTAAAATTTTTCATTGGCTAAGGTTGTTCTAGAAACCTAGGGTTCCCTTTTAAACTAGTCTTTCATTAGTGTTCCGGAATTGGATAGACATTGCTATCACTTTATATTCACTTATTCTGACTTGGAGTGGGAAAGGCATCCTATAATATAATAAATGTTAGGTTATTTGTCTCCTTGAATCGCTGCAAGATTGTTGCACATAAATTTGGTATTATTATTTTTAATATAATTACAGTACTGCTAAATGCGATATAAGTGCTCCCGACAAATGCTTTTTGTGCCCCAAAAGACATGGAATCATGATCTTTTATCTTACTGATGGAACTTAATACTGATGCTAGTAGGCTGCCAGACTTTTTGATGCTTTTCCTGTATGGTTGTTACTTTATCTAAGATATAAATTCCAGAAAATGAATACAGCTAATAAAAACCAGACCTTGCATTGATTCTCACCAGACTCTAGATTAATGGGAGCCTCATGGATTGGGCCACCCTAGGTGAGAAAACCAGCTAAATAGGAGTCTTAGTTTTGTTCCTTTGTTGTTGGTTTCATGGTCTGCAGGACCGACCTGTACCGCCCGGTACGGGCGGTATGTACCGGTCCGACAGATTGTCGGTACGCGGACCGCCTGTTACCGGTCCGAGTGCACTGTAGCAGTGCTACAGTACTCGTCACACCTGGGTGTACCGCTCGGTATACCATACCATACCGGTACCGAGCCCAGGTCGAAACACCGGTACGGTACGATATTGCGAACCTTGGTTGGTTTGATAAACTTTGGGTACGAATCTGAAGCTATCTTTGTGCAAGCTATATTTGAAAATTATATAAAGTTTATGATTTAGTTAAAATATGTAATTAATCGTTTCTTTTGGGCATGCAAATCTTGAAATGGGTATTCATCTACTGCACCTAAAATAAGCTATAACAGCTTTTTTTATTTTCTTTTTTAATTTTAGATCTCAATCTATCCAGGGAAAAGCACTTTAGCATGTACATTGGGCCGAGAGCTGCATTCTAGAGGAAAGCTTGCTTATGTGCTAGATGGTGACAACCTTAGGCATGGGTTGAACAAGGATCTTGGCTTTTCAGCAGAAGATCGTGCAGAAAATATACGCAGGGTTGGTAAGTTGTCTCGTAAAAATTAACTTTTAGATAACTAAATCATGGACAGGCTTGATTTTTTTAGAGCACTAGTGAAACCAATGCTTAAATTTGTTTGTTAGTAAATAAATAAATAAATTATTATATATTGTTATCATTACTATTAACTCTTCCCTACCCCACCTTGGTGGGAGCCTGATGCACTGAGATGCCTTTGCTTTAGTAAATTGTCAATATGTAAAATTGTTTCAGGTGAAGTGGCAAAGCTCTTTGCAGATGCGGGTTTGATCTGTATTGCTAGTTTGATCTCTCCATATAGGAAAGACAGGGACTCATGTCGTTCAATTCTTCCAGACCTTAGTTTCATTGAAGTCAGCTCTTCTTCTTAAATTGTTTTTACCTGCCACAAGACTTTTTTCCAATTATTAATTTGTATTGTTGTTAATATATTGTAGGTGTTCATGAATATGCCTTTAGATCTGTGTGAAGCAAGGGATCCAAAAGGTCTTTACAAACTTGCTCGAGCAGGAAAGATAAAAGGTGAAATTTTATGTCTTTGGACCTGGAAAGATGCATTAATCCTCAGAATAAATTGACCATGATGCTTATCCTAGTTGGCTTTGCATGATGATGATAAAATATTTTCATATTTCTACTTGGAATTTTGTTTATTTGATCACTTAAACATAAGCTTGAATGAGGTCTTGTTCCTGTTGTCTTCTCTTTTAAATTTTCAACTTGTCTGGTACCTTCACAAGAGGCTAACAGTACGACATGCCAAACCTAATCATGTATTCATCTTTTAACTAGAAGGAACAAATTTCTATTCACCATTTGTGTTTTGGTAGCTTTCCGTTAATTGTCTGTTGATCTGCATTCATCTTTTGTCACGTGCCACATCTACATAGGGTCAGAATCTTACTGAAGAAAGATTGAATTATTGTCAAATAATATGGAGTTTATTCTGTTTCTTTGATGGTTTTGTGTCAGAGAAATCTCTTCCTGTGGCTAAGATTATGTTTTACATTGTGAATGTAATGGTACTTTGTTTCCTTTTTTTTGTTTTTTCTATTACTATATAATTTGAAGTTTTGTTTTTTCCATCACATTTTTTTATCTTTCAGATACTTTAGTCAAGGTCATGATTAGACAACCTTATCTGCTGTTTATGATATATCTCAAAGTCTAGTCAAAACATGTGCATGAGTAGTAGTAGTTTTCAATATTTAATGCATGTTTCTCAATGAAATTCTTGTATTACAATATGTTATAAGTAATTAGACAAAAAGCTCAATACCATTAACTTTTTTCTGGACTGAAAACTTTTCTGTGTATCTTTTAGCATAATTCTTTTTTTTTCTGTCTGACATCGTGTCAGCTATGTGTTCAAACATAAAATACTTCTCTAAGATTATGTAACTAGATCCCACCTATGATGCTGATATGCATTCTTAAGTTCTTATCTTTTTTACATGTTGTCGACATACTGACCTATATTATTAGTTGGTGCATAGCACACTGAATTCATGTGTTCATACTAGTATAACATTGAATTGTTAGCAAAATACCTATGAACAGGCTATAGATAACTTTGTTGGTTTGAATTTTGAGTATGAAGTTATTCTTATCATTTGCATTATAATAAAATTATGTTCTCACCGATAAATGAAGTTTGCATTTCTCAATAGAGTTTAGTTGTAAGGAAAAGAAAAGGAGATGAACCTAGTTCACAAGGATCCTCCCAATGCAGGATATGGAGATCATTAATGTATGGAATTTTACTTCTAAAATTGATTTGAGCCATGATTACTAAGTTGTTTGAGCTAAAAATGGAACCAAGTGGTTGTTTAAATGGGCATGGTTACATTTGATTATTTTATCAGGAGTCAGCCAGAGACTTCAAATTAAGTAATATAGAGAGAAAATGTCATATGCTTTTCCTTTTGTTATTTGAGAAGTTTTAGGGGCAAAACTCCTGAACCTCTTTTTGGTTAATTTTTGTAGCCAAGTTCATTGGATAAATTTTACATAAGGATAAAAACCAAGCATTGGTTGCCTGCTGGACTGATACCATTTCATAAAAACTAATATGCACAAAATTTAATATCTTGCTTAGCATTGCTCATATCTGAGTGCAACCTAACCCTCATTGATAATATTGCAAAATAAAATGAACTTTATCTTAGTAAGTGATAATGCTTGAAACCCGCTAGTGTTTTACAAGTCATGTTTGTCTTCTAAATCTGTCAATGTTGTCTCAGCGTCGGGCATGGTACCCAATTTGACCAACAAACTTTCTCACCTTCACTTCAAATTTAATGCTTAGGATTGTAACCCTAGTAAATCAAGTTAGTCATGGCATCATAAATGTGTAATTCATGACATTCTTTTTTATTTACATTTTTTGAGTACATAATTTCATTATTGGAGAATCAATCTCAATGTCCATTATGCTGTCAATTTTAGCTCATTATGCTTAGGAAAAGATTATTGTCTTGATCAAGCAGTATACTGTGATTCTGATTAATGGTTTTTCTGACATGAGATTCTAATTAGAAGATTAAGATGTCCATGCATAGAGATTGTAAGAACCTTTAGCTTAGGAAGAAGTTCCTTCCTTATAGGACATGAGGAAAGACTAATTCAGTCCATGAAGATTATGATTTTCAGATATCAAGAGCCTTAATATGCCATCATTAATGAGACTAAAAACTCTTCAAAAACATAAAAGAGCATTTTCAAACTGTTGGATTAAGTAGATGTCTTCCCTCATCATTCCTTTTAAGTAATACCTTATCGAGGAAAGCATTTTCAAACTGTTGGATTAAGTAGATGTCCTCCCTCATCATTCCTTTTAAGTAATACCTTATCGAGGAAAGCATTTTCAAACTGTTTCTAACAGGATCTGTTGCATGTTTGTTTTTCTTTTTTTTCTTATGCCTTGTAAAAAGGCATCCCTTGGAGACTGCTAGTCAAACTAAAATATGGTACAAATTATCTTCTCAAGGAAGATTGTGATATCAGTGATTTAATATAATGAACACTGTTAAAGATTTTTTATGTGAAGGAGTGAATTCTACATGAAAAGTTACCAAAATTTAATGTTTTTTCAGTTCCTTTTCACGGGCATATCAGGTGGGCAGTGGATATTGCATGCTTGTCGATCTTCCTCGGTGCTTGAAACCATTTTCTGCATAATTTACATGATTATATCTTTGCTTTCTGAAGTTAATTTTCATGCAGGTTTTACTGGGATAGATGATCCATATGAACCACCTCTTAACTGTGAGGTACATTCAACTTCTTATGTCTATTGTCATTCTTACATCACAGAGTTTTTACATAAAGAAAGTTCCATCAAGAGTCCAACAGGCTTATTTATCTGTAAGCTTGTTGTTCAATATCATGTACCAACATGATATACCTTTCTTACAATGTGCAAAGTATACCATGAAAAATATTATGTACCAACATGTAAAACCTTCAACACAGAAAGTTTTCTGTTCAAGTACAAAATGTTTAAGCATGACATAATTAACAGATGTATACAAATTCTCATATACAAAATACATCAAGATTTATGATACTACCCTTAAAGTGCATTTAAAGTTGAACTCAGTCAGTCTAACTTGGATTAGTATGAGCGGGAACTGTTGACCTATATGATCTACATTGTGAGCTACTTACTAAGCAAAAATCATGAGCTGCATATGTATTGGAAAGATCACATAGCTCAAAGCAGATGAAAATACTGTGATATAAATTACAGCTTTTTATCTTAGAAAGATGTGATGCGTCTGCATGTAGGATTCTTTAGCATAAGTTATATCTTAACTGTGCATCTGCAGATTCATATATATTGCATCAGATGTATACCTACGTTCATGGCCATTTATATTACATATCTTAGTCTTACAAAATAAAGTGAGGTGATTTGATCTAGCGGTGTAAGAAAAGGTGGAGGTAGACTTCAAAAACTTATACCGGAAACAAAAAAGAAAGATTTGATTGTTGTTGATGCAACTAGGGATGTTGCTCCCAAGGCGGAGCTCAATGATGAGAAAAGATCCACATAAGCTGACCCCTAATTGTGACATTACTGTCTGCTAATATTGTTGTTAGAGCTCTCTGAGGAATTTTAATTTGATCTCTTTGGTTTCCATGATGATCTCCATTGAGTCAGAAATCTCTTCTCCAGCGGATTCTTTTTGGCAAATTCTCTTGATGCATTGCTTTCTGTCACAAAGTATAGAATTCTAGAGCATTTTCAAAACAAAGTAATTATATTCTCTTGTTGGGGTTTACCTCTCTGTTCTGGGCTTCAGTTTGGTTTCGCTAGCAGCCATTGCCTTCTAGTTTCATACATGTGCTACCACTGCCTTGTAGTTTTTGATGTGCATTTGTTGCAAGGCCTCATGTTGAACCAAACCACTCTTTTTCTCTTTCTGTAGATAGAAATACAAGAAGAAGAGAATGGAGTTTGCCCTTCACCTTGTGCCATGGCCGGACAAGTCGTAGGTTACTTGGAAGAGAAAGGCTTTCTACAAGTGTAATAAGTCTTTACAAATTCTTTTGCAAATTATACTATCTAACATCTAGATCGTCTCTAGTTTTGTCATACATCTATTTAAATTCATGGGCTAAAATCAATCTATTTATTGATTCATTTTTCAGTCAAAACATTGTTTTTTGGTGACTTTGGTTCAAAAATTACAGACGTATAGAATGTTGCTAATGGAATTGGACCACTGCTGATGTTTTGTCAAATAACTGAGATTTGTTTGCTTAAATGTTGTGAAATTTAGAACAACATTGATGATACCTTAATTCATAGCAAGCAGTATAGCTAGTAATTCTCATGGATTAATATGAATCAGGGTCACTTTTACCATTGTCAGATCGAACATTCTTACTTGTGGGGTGTTTTCAAGTGGTTTCACTGCCCCCATATTGTCGTTGATATCATTAATATTTTCAGTTCTTGTCATGTTTGTGGGAACGAGAACATAATTGTTCGTGATAGCAAATATATGTACTATTATACACTCTAAATAATATATTGATCTAATCATGTAGTGCCAAATCTATTTCCAAAAGTGAATGAATCATCTTTTTGTTCATTACAAAAACTACGGAAAACCCCAAAAGATAGCTTATCAACTACCTCTCTCTCTCTCTCTCTCTCCCTCCCTCTGTATCTCTATCTATATATGTCATAAGAAAATAATATTTCTCTCATGCTTTTGGTGAAGTCCAAACTTCACTGAAAGAGATCCCGAGGCATCATCTTCATCGGTTTCCTGCATCGGGATGTTCTCCGAGAGACAGGCCGTTCGGAGAGTTCGGAGGCAGAGCGTTACCCTCTCCTCCTCCTCCTCCTCCTCCTCCCAACCCCAGCTCGATGTCGCCTTCTCTCGGGCCCTCGGACGAGGCACCAGCAGTCCCCCTGATCTCCAGGATCCAAGTCCACCAAAACCTCGCTGGAGAAGGCGGCGCGGTCTCTTCCATGGCGGACCTATCCGATGGCACCGGTGAAACCGGCGAAGGGAGCCCATCCACCACCCTCATCATCATCTCAATCACGATCTCTGCTCCCGGCGAGCCAGCTCCGTCGTCCACTGCCGCACTCGCGGAGTTCCTCTCCGAGACCGGTGACTCCGGAACGGTCTCGGCAGGCGGATTCTGCGTCGACCCAGCACCGGCACTGGGGTTTGCAGAAGGTCTGGCGCGCACGCGGCTCCGGCAGAGCGGGCAGGTGTCGTTTATACGCAACCACGGATCGATGCAGCGGCGGTGGTACCCGTGACCGCACTGGGGGAGCAATCGAGCCTCCTCGCCGTCGGCCAGCTTGGAGAGGCAGACGGCGCACTCGATGCCTTCCTCGAAGTGGCTCGCCCGGTAAACAGTGACGGGCAGCGACTGGTCGACGGCGGCGTTAGGTTGCTGCAGAGACCTGCGTTGGCTGCGGCGGCGGCTGCAGTTGCAGGCCACAATGGCGTAGACGGCAAAGAAAATGGTGTAGGCGCCGATGATTACTGCACGTTCAACACCGCTTCCTTTCGAGGAAGCATCAACAGAAACGCTGGTTTCGATCATCTTGTTGGCTGCTGACACCGTATGCTTCGAGATCTACGGATGCCGAGACCGAAACCGCACCACCAAGAATACGAGGAACAATTAGTCGTCTCTCTTACACAGTCGTAAGAGCACTTGAGCACTAATAGTTACTGCTATACTTTCTTTCACTAAACGATGGCCTCACCTTCACCGGCAAAGCAATCGGAAGGCAGTGAAGGCAAGTGGATGTGGAGGTGGAGGTGGAGGTGGAGGTACTTCCGTCCGTCGAATTTATAGAAGATGCGACCCAATCCTACGATAGATCGCAATCCTAACCCGACTCCAATTGGGAGTACCCATTCTCATCGATCTCCTCCAATTCCGATTCCTAATCATATCATAAAACGTCATCGGAACTCCACATGTAGCACCAATGTGTATGAATTGTCTGCAGGGATATGCGATATATGAAGTTTAATCACCGATGCGGAGGTACATATCATCTAATCTAATGTGATGTCAAATTAGGATTCGGTTCAAGTCAGATGGGATAAATAACGGAGGTCGAATTATGGTTCGATTAATTGAAGAGGTATTTATTGTACCGCAATGGATAGATGCTGGTGAACCATCGCATGAACTAAAAATATATTATCGATTCATACATGAAAAAGAAAATATTATATGTTCTTATCACATCTCGTATTTATAAAAATAATAATAATCATCATTTTATTATTCATAATTTACAGAATATATATTTATTTTTTTATTCTTAAATTTAAATCCTACACGATGATGTATTCTCCAAACAATGAATGGAGAGACATGCTTAAAATAGCTAATTATATTTTTTTTGTCCGTTATAGTATTTTGACTATCATAATAAAAAAATACTATAAAACCAACTTGAGAACATGATAAATTTCCTAATTGAAATAAAAAAAAATACAGTATATACTATTCGATATCTCATACGAGGACTTAAATAAATATTTATAATAGTTTAAAAATAATATCACCCAATTAGAAATAAAAAATATTTCCCCCAAACTTTTTTTGCATCATCATTAGCTGTGAGACTGTAAAATGATACACAACTGATGAGCAGTAATAACAAAAATCTACCTCCTTTGAGAAACTCACAATGACAAACTCTTTGTCTATCATTTTAACAACTGTATTGTTAAATGCAACATAAATAATTGATCAGTCTGGAGGGACCTGCAGAATAATAACAGAGATCAGTTAAGAAGAAGAAAAGTATGGCAAGAATGCATGTTATGATTTCTTAAGAGTCCACAACAATCACATTCTCCCAAAGAGAGAGAGAGAGAGAGAGAGAGAGAGAGAGAGAGTTCAAACAAGCTTAGACATGGCATAATAATGACAAAAGCAGAAATGTTGATATCACTGTGAAATTGTACAGTTTGATGAATGGACAATCGTTAACCAAAGATGATATCTCAAAACTTACAAAACCATGACTATCATGAATGGAGCATTTTCACTCACTACAAACAATAGAGACTACAACTCCAGATGTAGCTTGCTTCCTATGAGATACATATAACAATAAATTGCTACAATGAAGTCCAAATAGTTGGCATATCGCAAATGAGAAATAATTGCGCAAGAAGATTGACATCACTCAGTCTATACCAACAACAAAATTAAAGCATCACCATAGAACTGTCTATTCATGTAGTAAGAAAGAATTGTGTTTAGGCTATGTATGCATAACATACAACACTTGAAGCCAATCCCATCACAGAACCCAACAGATGAGAACATAGAAAGAGAATACTATTTTGTAACGGGGAATGCTGAGTCACAATCACCACAGATAGCAAAGTCATATAAGATAAAAGGGCGGTTGTGATTATCCCAAATCCATCAACATTAGCATTTGTTGCCAAGACATATGGTCAAAACTATGATAAGAATCAGTGCAATGATTATGCCCAAGACAATCACAATCAGCATAATCTTCATATCCTGTAGCCACGGATTCCTCCTCACCGTTGTGCCTTGCAGTCTAAAATCTTGTGCCTGTGGCACAAAATATCAGACATCTATTAGAGGGAAACTCCCACCGAGGACAGAAAACATACTTCTCTATTGTACTATAATTGGTGATTTTTAATAATTTTTGACAAAGTGTTCATAGGGACTAACTAACTGACTTCACAATAGACATGACTTGTATACCTGAGAGTAAAGGTTTTTTGCCTTCTCAACAAGCACATCAACATTCTCCTTATTGTCAAGAACCTAAAGAATCAAGAAAGGTATTAAAAAAAAGCATCAAGAACATCCTGCAGCTGTAAAAGAAAAATAAAGGATCATGTAGTATATATTTTATAATTAAATGAAAACAATCAAACACCTTCTCAATTTTTTCAATCATAGCACTTTTAAGTTCAGACACCTGAGCTTGCAACTTTGCCATCTTGCTAATCTCTTCAGGGTGATCTGCACAGTACTGCATGTGCTCTTTAAGCTTGGACCTGATATGTTAGTGGAAACTTCATTATTATCTTTGCTTAGACAAGATGAGAAAGAGTATTTGAAAATTTGAACATGTCAATGGTCAACAGAAAATGGTACCCAAACTCACGGCTGAGGCTCTTGGCTGCAGCTGTTGCAGCATTTCCTCCATATCTTTTGTTAAACTCCTCTTTCACCCTCTCCAGAAAGAAAATGGGAATTTCCCTGTCAACTGACTCAACAGCAACTACACAAAATGCTGCGAGATTCGCAATTTCACTTGAGCACCAAAGTAAAATAAAATTCTCAATTTTTGCAAGTACTGAAGTAATTGAGCATAGTGATCATCAAATCTCAAGCAGGTACGAGGGATCTTAGTAAAAAGCAAAATACAAAGAAATCTAGCCATCATATCAAATTAATTGTCCATATAAAAGAAAACTATGATCATTAGATTCAACTGTTATATTAACCTCATGAATCATATTTATCAGGTAACTAAATCAGAACATCCATCACAAAAAATGCTTATGAGGAAGAAAATAGGTCACTATGCCAGTTTGTAAACCTCAAATTGCTGATGCCCATAAAACTATTCAATGTCCATGCGTTCACAGTAATAAATTCACAAGATCTTGAACAGACCGTAATACTGATAAAAGATACTAGGATACACTATTATTTTTCATACAACAACGTTGCGTACATGTATAAAACATCCAAGAAATAAAAATGTGGAATACCACCTCCACCACTCCTGATTGTATACAAAGTAACATCCAAGAAACATTCATAACAGCCAAAACTCTAGTAATATCAAAAACCTAACCTAGATCCAACCAACTTACAGTAGGAATGAACTAGTCCAGTTTTCACTACTCACATTGTACAGATAGGTTTTATTTCATGTGTCACTATATATAGTTGATCAATGCCAAAACTCTGATAATATTAAAAACCTAAGTTAGATCCAACCAACTTATAATAGGAATGAACTATTCTAGTTTTCACTGCTCACATTGTACAGATAGGTTATGACCAAGTATGACAAAATTCTTTTGTTTTTCTCCGTCACGATCCATCAGAAAACCAACAGAGTAGCAAATCATAAAACCTTTAATTCACGCCCAGATCAATCAGAACAACAAGCGACCAGCTCAAATTACTTAATCTATCTCCCATGTCCCACGGCTAGTCAAAACCACAACGAGCCCTGGCGGAACGAAACAGAAACCCGAGAGCACTCACTGTATCCGTCCTCAACGAGGTAATTGAAGGTGCGACCGTCACAGTTGAAACTGAACTTGTTGTTCCTGCCCGAGAGATTCTCCAGGCACTGCGCGGCGATCCTCGTGAAGTTCCCCTTGAACTCCGCGTACTCCGCAAGGATCATCGTCCGCCGCGCGACGAAGCTGTAGATCAGCAACTTCTGCCCCATCTCCCAATTCCCAGACACAAACCCTAGCCGCAGATCGATCGATGCGAGATGTAGACGATGACATGCCGATCGCAGCGATGAGCGAGAGACTAACAGATACGGTGGTATTGGGAGAGTGCACTAAATTTTGCATCGCGGAAGGGATGATTGGGCGACGAAGAACGGAAGAGGAAAGCGAGAGACCAACAGATACGGTGGCATTGGGAAAGCGTACTTAAATTGTTCCCTCGCGGAAGGGATGAATGGGAAATTGAACGACCTTAGTTTTCACTAAAGCCCTTATTAATTTCGAAACCTATATTTTTAAATACAGCTGACACATGAAATTAATATTAGATTGATGTTTAAATCTTTCCTTCAAATCCCTTTGCAGTTAGATAAACTTTAGTAGCTCTCATTACAAAGTACATCTTATTAATTTGAGAAATGGTTTGTCAATGTTAAAACATTTGTGAATTAAAGGAGCGGATTTGTGGATTGATATATCAGTGCATATTTCTGGTAAGTAATTTTTCGATATCACATTAAGATTCAAAGTAATCAGCAAAAATAAAGAATCATGCAATATGAAACCAAAAACAATTTCCAGCTAGAGCCGTCAAAATTGAAGTCAACCTTAACAGGAATGTGAGGAAATTGAAATATTATAATATATTTAATATAAGATTGGCACGAAGCCATCGGTTGTTGTTTCTTTCTCCTTATCGTGGAAACATGAAAGCCACCATTTTCACTCTTAGCATGCGAAAAATAAGAGGAAAGGATAAAATGTCAAGAGAAAAATACAACACTGAGAGCCAAATTGGCCAGTTTATTATCTCAGGCAGTAGTAGTGGCCGGCAGCGGCAAAAGTGTTATCTCCACATTGTCATGAACACCCTGAAGCAGCAGCTCGCCTTCATATTTCACAACCTTTCTCTTCTTTGCTGCGCGAAGGGTCCCAACCAGTGCTTCAAATATGTTGGCACACCTATCATCGTTGAACAGGACCCCGAACTTGACCTGTACCAAGAGAAGTCCATTTTTTGGATACGAAGAAAGAAAATTTTGATGTGAGATAAGATCATCAGAGTATGAAGATAGCTTGCTTCCCTTGATGAATTATGTGGTTTCAAAGATGAAAAATTAAAAGCATATCCATATAGAACATTTTGAAATTAAGAAGCTAAAGATATTATCAATTTTTGTTCATCTTGATACACATGACCTAAAGAATGAAACATCTGGTCAAGAATCCAAATTTATCATTCTGTATTTAAAAGCTAGTCTTAGCAAACTACATGTTATAGTGAAAACATATTACATAAGTCGACACAGAAGAAAGTATCATGAATACAAGGCAAGGCTTGGCACAGCCACAAGGTTGCTACATCCCAACAACTATTCCAAGTTTGAAACGCAAAATGGACCCTTGGGAGTGTGAATCCAAATTTATCATACGGTATTTAAAAGCTAGTCTTTGCCACAACATGTTATAGTGATCTTACATAAGTCGACACAGAGG